CTGTTACGAGGAAAAGAAATCCATACATCATAAAAGCATAGTATTTTAGAAATGAATGTAACAAAAATAAGGCGACATGGTTGACTTATTGCAAAACTCTATCAACAGTTCGGAAAAAAGTCCTGAAAATAGCAGATAATGTTAAAGCTACAAGAACACTTTCATCGTGGAAATGACCCCTTTACACGGAAAACTGAATGTAAAGAGTGTGGCCGACATTTCCCCAGGTAAATTTCCCGCGAAGGTAAATTTGCATGGATACGTCAACAATTTGGGATCAGACGAAGCGCCCATCCAACGCCTTTATGAGGGTTACATTTGTCATCTCCAAGATTCTAATATCTGAGCTTAAAAATCTTTCTTGACCTCCGGGCGAATTTTGTTTGCCCATTTAGTGAAAATTTTCATTTGATAGAAAATATGCCTTACTGATAAAAGGTGCTCTACTTTTTTAGGACGAAGGGGGTAAGTTTCTAAAGAAACTGTGGTGATGCGTCGGTGGGAGAGTATAACAGGGTAATTAAGTATTATCAACTGAGTTAATAACGTAAATTGGCCACCGTAAAGAGTTTCAAAGCAGACGTTTCGAGCATTAACCATTCGTCACAGCGATTAACGAGGGGCTAACGCTCGAAACGTTAGCTTTTAAACTCTTCAGGGTGGCCAATTTACGTTATCAACTCAGTTGATAAAACTTAATTACCATTTTATAGGATAGTACTTTTCTCGCATGGCCATCGTCGAAAACATTCGTAAGAACCCTTAAAGCTCTTTTTAAGTTTTTCATTTCTTGTGTTTCAGTGTCCAAGGTGCTGTATTCGATTTCTCTTTCACTTTCTTTCTTGACATATTGTGAAAATCCTTCTAATTATTATTCCCCCATTGCTTTGAGTCGAAAGCCGCTAGGATCTACAAAACGTTCAAAACTACTCATGGTACTCTCAAGATTTCTCTTACCAAATCACTTAAAAAAGAATCAATGCCGCGAAGCATTTTCGACTTTAGATGGAGAGAAGAAATTATGAAAAATATATGTAACTGAAAAGAAAGATACTGTTTAATTAAGGGTATCGGTGTAATAATGGGCATAGCATCTTGTCCCAGAAATCATTTGTTCTTCCGTAAGGTCCTTGTCATACCTTAAACGGCTCCACTGGATGAAGCTGCAGAGAGCAAAGTCTCTCTCGTCCTTCCTTGTCTTTTTTGTTTTTGAATAATTCTATAGTCGGTGCATCGAAACGAACCGAAAAACAAAATTTAAAATCGAAGTCTCCTGTAAACCTGTGAGAGAAAAGAGCAACATTGAACTTACGACACACATTTTTCAAATGGCACTAATAATGTTACATATTCAAGAAGGCATGCGACACCATTTTTTGACGAACTGCAGAGGTTTCCCGATGAAGACGTTTTCAATTAGAAGCCAAAGAAGATGCAAATACTTTCTTTATAGTTAGCAAATGTAGACCATAATGCTTTATGCTGAAACGCAATTCCGCCGGAAAATTTTTAAATTGCGTATATAGTCGTCATTTACGAGAGATTACAACTTTATCATGATGATCAGGCAACTCACCGCAATTATTCAGTGAGGCAGATTTTCCGGATACCTTACAACTGCAAAGAGCTTTTTATATTCGTCTAAACATACGGGCCTTGCTGTAAAAAATGCTTCGCGTTGGATTTTCATTTAGCCACGGCCTTAAGGCCCATGTGAAAATTTTGTCATGTGGCGGACGAAAGTTACATTGTTCTTAACTAAATAAAAATTCCTTCAAATTCAGCCTATAGGCCTGTTTAATAATGCTATAATTCACCAACACTTAGACTGTCCACAGTCTAAGGGCCTGTTTACACGGAGGTGGGGGACCCCAGGTAGGTGAGGTAACCCGCTTAGGCGGGTTGCCCGGTCTGCTAGGTAGGGTAACCCTGTCAGCCGGGGTGACAATTTGCCATGTAAGCGTGTCAAGGTGGGGTAACCCGCCTAGCCGGGGTCGCTTTCATGGCAAAAAGCTCAAAAGCGAAACATATATGTTTTAAAACTTTGTACATTTCCTAGCCGTGTCATGGCAGAAGTCACCAGAAACTGCATCGGACACACAAGGAGTGTAAAATATTCACATTTCGGAATATTTAGCGTTGTAAATCGACCATATTTGGTTTCCCAAACTATCCCGTATAGCGTATTAAGTGAACGGTTCCTTGCGAAACCAAACACCGCGTAACACAATACAGAAGTGTCCCAGAATTAATCTTTCGTGTTTTTCGAGATGTGAGTTTGGGACGCCTCTGCTCAAACTCCTTAATTGCAAGCGCAACAACAGCCTCAAGAAACCTCACCCCAGCACCCCGGGGTTGTAAGATTGCATGTAAACGCGTTTTATTTTTCGACCACGGCTAGGCGGGTTACCTCACCTACCTGGGGTTCCCCACCTCCATGTAAACAGGCCCTTAGAAAAAAAATTAATAATTCTTCAGAAAAGCATTCCACTGTGAATTCAGTGGTAATAATCAACTCATTCTCAATGTGATCTGAATCGAAGTTGGATCAGTGATCAAAAAGTATTTAAATTAAAAAAATGATCTCTTTCTGAGACTTACACAACGGGGGTGTTATTTATATCAATTCCTTCATCAACTGGAGTGAGTCCATTTGACAGAGAAAAGAGTGCCTGGTCCCCTTTGGCGAGTTGTCTTTCTGACTCGGCTTCGCCATAGAGGATAACGCCATGCTCTGAAGATATCTCTTTTGTCAACTCGGTTTTCATGTGGAATGGAAAACAGTGAAGAGTCAGTAATCCTCGCTTTGGATCTTGTCTTGGTTCCTTTTCATTCTCAGGACACCAGAAAGCGAGAAATCCTACATGTTGCGGACAGGAAGAATCCACGATAAAAAGCTCTTCAGCTTTCAGATGTTTCGTAGAGGAATTAAGCATCACACCGCATCTAGCAATAATATAAAGGCACAAGGAATTTGATACTAGAAGACATTTTGAAAACTTAGGAGATGATATGGAGGTAGCTGACTCAATTTTTTGTGTATCTGAATATGAAAAAGTTGCAAGTTAGAAACATGCATGTGCATACCATGGCAACGTATTTTCATTTCATTTTTTGATACTCCTGCAATATATGTAGTTCTCAGTTCGCAGATAACTCATATATGAAGGAAAAAAATAAGATTGCAAACTTACTCCAAGAAGCGATTGATTTGAAATGTATCAGCCCCATCGACCTCAAATGTCACAGTCCCTTCTTCCAGTTTTGGTGGCGTTTTCAACCTCTTTGTCCAATCGACCCATTTCCGTGACTTGTCTTTACCACCACGGAAAAACACTCTTACGTGCCTTGATGATATTCCCGAAAACTTAATCTGGTGTTCTTGCGAGTCAATGGGTACACTTATTAAGAGGGGACAGGTCAAACTAACTTGCAAAGGATCCCCTAACTCATCTTTTGGTGTGAAAGTAATGTGAACGACAGGACCAACAATAACCCTCTTTCCTTCGAAACCATCACTTGAAAGCTCTTGCACCTACGGGAAATCAAAATAGATTCAATGCACAAATCTCAAAAAGTAGTATATTACGGAAAAATCAAATAGTTGAACTATTGCAATATCTCATATCGGAAATCCCCCGGATCTGACACCGCCCTCGTCAACTACACAGAGCAGTGGAAAAAAGAGTTGGAGAATCACAACGCTATCGGCCTTGTATCAATGGACCTACCAAAGGCGTTTGACACTCTGCCAAATGACTAAATGGTGGAAAAGTTCAGGTCTTACGGCGCTGACGATAACAGCTCCGAGCTCATCAAGGGTTACCTCACAAATTGAAGTCAACGAGCTAGATTAGGAGATCAGTTCTCAAACTGGAAAGGAATTTCATTACGATTTCCACAAGGAAGCGTCCTGGGTCCTTTGATATACAACATATTCATGAACGATCTCGTCCATGTCATCAAACACAGCAGTTTGTCTGCCTATGCAGACAACAGGCAGATAATATATGCCCACAAAGCGTCCGCGAAAATTGAAGAAACCATCAACAATGACCCCGCTCGTCTAGATATATGGCTCGAGGAAAATGGTAAGAGAAGAAGCCCAGCAAAGTACCAAGAAATCGGCATGGGAAAAACGTAAATTACGCCTCAATTTCATTGTGAAAACACAGAAATCCCCATAACCGAAGATTTTGAGATGCCTGGAGTAACGATAGACGACAAACTAAATTTGAAAAGCATGTAGGCAAGGTTTGCAGCGAAGTCTCTGAGCAAATTGTTGTGCTCAAGCGTATGGAAAAGATGCTCCATTTTGAAACAAGAAAGAACATCTATTTTGCATCCGTCCTTTCCAATTTCAACAATTGCTTTGGAATCTAGCGCTTCTGTAGTAAAAGTGCTAGAGCAAAACTGGAAAAAAAATTAAATGAACGTGCACTCTGATTTTTTTTAATGAAAAACAAACGTACTACCAGGAACTACTCAATAAGATAGGCTTACTGTCATTGAATAATCAAAGACTCGCAGAAATTGTTTGTATGGTTTTTAGAGCTGTTAGTTACGATCATACTCCTATTGATTGCTACTGCGGGGGTTTCAATAAAAGCCAATTACAGGCGGTCTACCGCCACCTGTAAGACCTCTTATTGCCGTTACTACCTGTTTCAACATTACTGCCGGATCTTCTTACATTCGACTGATCGAAAATAACGCTAGCAATTACAGCTTTTTAAAGCTTAAAAGCTATATCCTGCATGTTTCCTTTGTAACAAAGATTAAAAAACAAACATTGTTGGTTAAAAAACCTTGCCTCGTCGTTTCAACCGGCCATTTTCCCCTTTCACTTTTACATTTAGCTTTTTCGGAGTCATGTTTCCGAGACGTTTTTTCTTCTTTATAATAAAATTTAAGGAAAATTATTCAGACTTATTTAAAACACATTTGGATGATTAATCAAGATATTTATTTTATTTATTCCTTTTGTATTTTTTTAAAATTCTTTTAATCATTTACCTTCCCTTTTGACGAGTAGTAAGCATTTTTTTATCTATTATGCTAGCAGCGGCCAGAGTCATAATCACGTCAACAAATAGAGAAGCCTTGACTGTGCTCTGTTCTGTTATAAAGCACGCAGGAAGCGGCTAGAGCACAAAAGAAGTGTAGGGAGAAACACGAGACGTAGTCGAGTGTTTCTTCCCACTTCTTGAGTGCTTTAGCCGCTTCCTAAGTGCTTTTTAACAGAACAGAGTACAGTCAAGGCTTCTCTAGTTGTTTTATAATAAAGAATCCGTTAAATTCCCCATGTATTACTTTCAATTTTCAAAACAAACTTTATTTCCAAAGCGAACAACAGTGTCGTCAGCATGCTCTATACTCTCATAGAGCACGCTACAATAAGCCAATCAGAATCCCTGTTAGAATGGTTCAAATAATCTGATTGGCTGTACAAGACAAAAGCTGTCAAAAGTGTCAAACCATCAAAGTTCACAATCTGCGATAGTTTACAAACTAAAATAATTCGGCAGGTCAAATTTAACGCTTTTACCTGAAGTTTTTAATTCAGAATCTTGAAGTGAAATGTTCAGTGAACTTAAGCCGAATTATGGCTCATAAAACACGCGGGTTTTTTCACATGACAAAGTAGAAAACAAACTGTTCAAGGCGAGTGTTTTTTAAATGAACGACAGCCGGAACATGAAGATCGCTCGGGATGACAGCGCCGCAAAACACGGCTGCAGTGACCGAAGTGACTTTCCACTCAACACATCGGAAAGGATATCAGAGCGAGCTCTTATTTTTTCACTCGAAGGGCGGCCGATGTAGTTTCTGAGGCTTGCTTTACTGTGATGACCGGAGATCGCCATGATAAGTGAGCTGCGATGGACTTCAGCATGATCATATTTGCTCAGACACAGTCATGATTAGTATGAATTTTAACAGTTATGCCAGTTTGGTTATATTTTTCATCATTTCTGTTTTGTTCTGTTTTTTTTTTTTGAACTCTGAACTTTATATACTACACGAGTGTTGGCTGTGTTTGATTTTCATTACCGTACGTAAGCTTGCAATCTAACTGAGCGTGAAAATCTTTCAAACTCGGAATGTCTATTTTGTTTTTCCTTTGAGGATTTTCGTATCTGCCCACGTTTTAATAACGTAAATAACGGCGCCTGGTATGTTTACAAACCTTTCTTTGGTTCTTCTGTTACTACTTGCCGGCTCGCTTGTTCCGAAATTTCACTTTCAATTATCGGAAAAAAGCTAAAAAGAAGTCCTGGAAAAGGTCGAACATAGTACAATTTGGCAGATGGCGTGACAGCTTTAGCTCAGTTCTATGATCTATACTCTCATAGAGCACACTCTTTCAACCAATGACAGCGCGCGTTATATCCGAACTTTATTATAAACTTTAAAAGTGTATAGATTAACGTGTAAAAGCACAAACAATAAAATTTTAATACAGGAAAGATGTCAAGAAGAGAGTGTTTCAGTTGTATGAATTGCTTTTACCTTAATGATGAGGTCCATACTTGCAGGAAACGAGGTCCTAGGACTTGACAAACAAAAACCCGGGAAATCTTGGATACTGATTGTTACTTCTGGACGTTCCCCTGAATCCTCTTTTCGAAGTTTGTAGTTCTTCAGACGACAAACAATGGCATACCGGGAAAAACTGGTTATTTTAGCCTTAACAAAGGGCAATTTAGTTTTCCAGTCTGAACATTCTCCTTGTAGATCTGAAAAATTTTAAGAAAAATACATTGTCTATGTACAAGAAATTAAATAGGCTTGCTACCTCAGTTTGGTTCAGATGAGTGAATATTGTGCATTCCTTTGTTTCAGTGTAAACTATGAGAGTTACTCTAAAACTAAAAATTCATGTGCCACAGAAAATAAAACAAATATTTCCTTGTGTTAGTTACAAACCTGATGGTTGCACCTCTGAGGTGCGTAGATCCTTCCAGTGCAGTCCTTTGGAATCGGCCATTTCCTTCAAAACAAGCTCGTAACCTCTCAAACAAATTGAACTATGGCTTAAGGCTACTTCAATGGAACTGAACACTACATCATGTGGATCATCACAGTCGAGTTCTATTACATTGCTCACTAACGATTCATTGTTTTCAAGAAGAGGAGAAACAATCCCAGGCTTCCACAACGAACAAGTGACCAGTCTTGGATCTGGTACCGCTTTAGGAAAAAATTTTACTAAAACGCCCGTTTCTTTTAGGATCCACGTAAAACCTTCCTCTGGTACCAACTCTCTATAAGAAAATATTTTGACCATTAACTACGGTGTTCACTCTTTCTGCTTGAAAGATGTTCCCAAGGTCGTGTGGGACAAGACAAAGAAAAAGCTACTCGTTAAGGTGAATCCATGCTCACGCCAAGTCAATTTGGAGATAACCCCGCTCTGCTTCTTATCATAGATGGTAATAGACGTTAATCAAATGGCTTTGAGAATTAGAAATGGAATAAATTTATGACCAAAGAAAGAAAAAGTTATTTCATGCAAACAATGACACCAAAATCCTTTTGTGGCGCCTTTGTATTGGTGACTTATGCAAGCGAGTGAAGGGTAATGCTTACACGCATATCAGTAAAATCGTAACTCCCGTGTACCCCTTGATTTTTTCACCCGATGTCAGAGCTTAGACTCCTTGATTAGGAAGCCATACGTTCGTAAAAGCATTTATTGACTCGTCTGATGACTAACTTACGAAACTAGGTAATCTCCCCTCGAATACAACATCAAAAACAGCCACGATAAGATGGTTTATAGATCTCTAGTTACATGATTTCGAAAAAATCAAACTTACGAAAAAATTATCCTCTTGTTAATCCTTTCCTGTGGAATGGTAATAGGTTCTGCAAACACTTTAGAAGAAATACACGCAAACTAAGTTTATTTAAGCAAATGCAAACATTATTTTGGGTGTACAGACCTAATACATTGATCAATTCGAAGCTTCAGCATCCCCCCCGCGAGCAATCCCCCGGGCATTTGAACTCTTGAATATTGGCTCGTTCAAATTCCCTTCCCCTCGGGCCAAGGTTGTGTTTAAATGCCCCACCCAATATTAAACTATTCTTAGTGTGATCAACAAATGTTATAAAATTAAGGGGTCAAGTAGCGAAGTCACGTATCAGTTATTAGTGTTGCTGTTGGGTTTTTCGCTTCTAATTATCATTCTAGGATGAGAAATTTGTCTTTTGAAACCATTTATTCATATCTTCTCTTCAATAATACATCAAAATTTGAAAATAACATTTAAAAGTAACATTTTCCTTTCAAAAAACGAAGCGAAAAACGTACGAATTTCTAGCTTTTACGAGCCGTGCGTTGTAGATTCCCCATAATTAAATTGTTTATCAGAATTTACGCCCAGGAACTTGCGTAGCTCCGTGTTGGAAATTGATTCTGAAAATTGAACAGTTTGAGACAAATCTTCTCTTGAACAACACTTTTGGGACATATCAACATTTAAAAATAGTATTTGCCATTCGTAAATAAGATTGCTAACCTTTGCAAACCCTAATTTGAAGTCAGAAAGCTTAGTTTTCTTTCTCCAAAACAATGAACTAAATACTCATTGTTTTATAAACGAGTATTTCATGGCATGTTTCCTTTTCATTTTGAGCTCTAAAAGATCTATCTCAATCGGGATGGAGCGGAAAAAAATCTTGAAAGGTTTGAAACCTTACGGCTAAACTAAACTGGAACTTTCAGCCGAAGTGAAATTGCTGAAATCATGTTATGGTGCAAATATAGAGGCTCCTGAGGAATTAGGTAGGACTTGAGCCCGCGATATGTTATAATAGGCAATAAACTTAAACTTCGAGCAATTTCAAAACTATAAAAAAATTAATTGCGAGATTTCGTTGCATCCTGGTTTATCATTAGAGGGGGTGGAGGGAGTATGTCAAGGAAATAGAGAATTATAAAATATTGAGTACAGGCACCAAGAAAGTGTGTCGGGCGCGAAAGCTTGCACGAATAAGAGTGCGTGCGCATTTATTTGACAAATGAACGGTGCAAAGGACTGAGATTTAAAAAAAAAAAAACAAGTCCTCCTCATTTCGAGCCAAGGAAGAGGTCTAACGGTCTCCTTCTAGTGTTGAAAGCTAATAAAAAGAGACATCTGCGTTATTTACCTTGATCTCGGACTATCGGACCATCGCTTAGAGAGTCAAAGGACTCTTCAAGAATTGCTCTTTTAAGAGGCTCTGGTAGGGTTTTTTCTGTAGTACGTGTCACATCTATTTGACACTATTTTAGATAGTTAGGGTTGTGTACACAGTTAGACAATACGGCGTTTAGATACCGGAGACTTAGGACCTGAAAACCGTTCTTAACAAAGGAGAATAAAGTTAAGTTCTGCAAAGTGATGTAAACGACTACACCTTTGCCTCCTGACACTTAGCGAAGACCCAATAAGCTAGGTCAATTTTATTCAAGATGGTGGTAAAAGTTCATCGATCTTGGAGTATCTGTTCACTGTGATTTTTTCATTGATCAAATCCATTTCTATTCATGTCAAAGACTAATGATTCTTTTTCAGTTATATTATTTCATAAAAAACCTTTTTTGAAGAAGATTGACAAGGAAGAGAATGACAAATCCTTTTCGTTAATAAGCTTTAAAGCAAACATTAATACTTAAATGTTTTTAAGTTTTTCAATGATCAAATTGTCATGTTAGGGAAACCTCGTCATCGAAGAGACCACGGATGCTTGGACTTCTAATGAAAGCTAACATTCCATTAACTGATATCAACTTTATCGACAGAAGCTACCATTTTCAACTGCGAATTGTCCAAATAAATATAACAAATTACCCACAAAAAATAATAAGTGCAATAGTGCAAATGACTGAGATATGAGAAAAAAAATAACATTTTGTGATTTACCTTGATCTTGGACTATACCACCATCGCTAGGGTCAAAGGGCTCTCCAAGAACTGCTTTCCTAACAGCTTCTGGTAGGGTTCTTTTTGTAGCACCTTTCATATTTATTTGAAAAAGACACTATTTTAGTTGGTTAGGTTGTGTACATAGTTAGATAGGACGGCGTCTAGATACTGGAGACCCGTTCTTAACAATGGATAAAATAGTTCAGTTTTGCAAAGTGATTTAAACGACCACACCTCTGCCTTCTAACACTTAGAGAAGACCCAATAAGCTAAGTCCATTTTATTTAAGATGGTAGTAAAAGTTCATCTATCTTGGAGTATTTGTTTACAATGATTTTTCATTGATCACGTCATATGTTCATATGTGCAAAGAAACAAATATTCCAAATTAACATAGAGCGCTTGCAAATCCCAATTTTTACCACCATCTTAAATAAAATGGACAAAGCGCAGCCGGAGAGTGAAACTCGCGGCGACCGAGAACATAAACCAGTAAGCGAGTTCCTTTAATGTTGAAGCACTAATAACAGTCCCTAATTCTTATATATAATACACACATGTATTTACAGTGTGGATTTTTTTTCCTGAACAAGTATATCGCATGTCTTAGGAATCTATCTATTTCAAGTTGTCTTTAACAGTTGATAAGACTTCGTCAACTATACACTAATAGAAATCTCAAGTTCTCCTGTCATCATGTTCGCGAAGCAAACTAAAATGCATCTCCAAGCAATTGTAATGTACATATTCAAATTCGAACCTTACCTTCATCGCTGTTTGGTGAGGACATTATTTAAAATTCTGGAAATCAGCGAGTTTCTAAAATATTTGATGTTATCTTTGACCGATGCAAAGAGTTCTTCAGTAAGAGAGTCACCAGCCTGTTAAAAATATCACAATATAATGAGACTTAACTGCTCCCCAGGCCAAACACATGGGTAAAATGCACGTATACTTGCATGCATAAGAGAAACGCGCAGAGAGTTTTAATTTAAAAATCTGTTCCAATTCAGCCTTAGTGCAAATTCTTTCATGGGAAATTACATTTCCCCGCCTGTAACCAATCAAGCCGAAAGTTGAATCGCAATTAATTTACACCAAATTTACCACACAGCAAAGGCGAGTCGTAAAGAAACTTAGGAATTTCTTTGACTGGAAAATTCTTTCTGACTTAACATAAAGTCTCTGAAATATTTGGATAACTGATCGGTCGACACAGCGGCTTTGACTGGTAACAAGTCAGATCAACATTCGACACCGCTCGTAAGCATTCATCCTGAAACATTCGACTGAGGATTTTGAACCAAAAGTAGTGAGTACATGTGACGCATAATCCATTATGTAATCTGGCTACTACATGATCCGTGAAGTGAATCAAAACGTAAGAGAATTGTACTTAAGTCCCTAATCAATTTAATGTAAAAGAATTAACTGTCCGATGTTTTCTCAACTAAAACTGAACGGAAAACAGTTTGACAGAACAAAAATTGCCGCTTAATAATGTGTAAACCAGATTATTTGACCTGAATGACGTGGTAAAAGCAATCCTCTTGTTAAATGTTGATGAGAAGTATACATCGCATTTGCTACTTATCTTTTGTGCATCACATACACAGTTTCACGCATTCCATGTTCGTTCATAAACATCAGACCGAGCACAAGGTAAAATTCCTTGATCAGATAGAAAATTGAATCCAACTGATGGCTTGAATTGACAATTGAACGCAAACGATAAAAACAAACAAACAAACAATGCGCCTAAGAGCAATGCGGAAGTGTTACTTTACACTAGATCAGAAACCCGAGACAAACGAATATGGTTATCTTAGTGCGAAGGCATCAACCTCGTATATAAGATATTTCAGTCGGAGTCACCTACGGTACTCAAACAGCGCAACTGAACGGCGCTGATAATGCAGTATAATTACTGACCCTCCTTGTTGTCTATCTGCATTAAATCAACAAACGCTATTACAATTGTTTGAGGAAATCGGGGGCGGTCCTTTTTGTCAATAGGGAAATTATCAGGGGTAATACATACTAAACGCGCTAAATCAAACAAGCTGCAATGTTTTCCATATTGTAACCTGCACACTACAAAAGTCAAAATATTGCAGTTCTCCCGGTTTAACAAGTTCTATGTGTACAGAGCACTATCATTCAGTAATTTTCAACTTAGTCAACAGCACCGTGTCGGTCTAACTCTCGTTAATTGCAACTCAATTTTATGTTTCGAAGTGCCACTTCAATTACAACTTTCAAGCACTGAGAATAAACGGAATCAAGGGAACGGATAGAATGGAGCACTGTATATCGTACTAAAAATAATCCTAGTCAGAAGTTCATTCATATGAAATAACAACTTTAGTGCAAGCGTTTACATTCGATTTCTGCTGAAATATCAGTGTTCGTAGAGCTCTGTGTCATAAATAATGCTTCGTTTTCCGAGGAATCCATCGTCTTTCAAAATTGAGGTTTGCACCGAGTAAAATAACTGAATTCTCTGGGTTATAAAGTATGTAAATTTGCAGTGTCACACGCCTTTCACGTATTTATTTCATTGTTGTACTTGTTTTGAACAACTATAACAATAAACAAGAATAACAACCCTCGGGTAAACGGTGCACGAGTGATTTAGATCGACACGCGTGGGTGTTTCTGTTATGTGCTATCGCATGTCTCTTATCTCGTGCGCGTGGTGATGGCATTCTTGCCGAACGCAATGAGACGGACGCAAATCTTTCACTTCTGCGAATAAAAAATTAAAACAACACCACAGTTGAACTATGCCTCATAAAACTCTTCTTCATGAACACAAACTTAAACTTTTCTACTCAGTTAAAATGATTTTCCTTCCAAACTGGTGGCGTTAATCACTGGTCTTATAGTAAAAGTAACATGAGTGGCTTAATTAATACTCAGTATTGATCTAATACAACGCATTGCAGTATAAATCTATAATATCCGTTGAATACATATTTATTTTTTAAGAACCTGAATCCCTATGACATCTCTACAAAGCAGACATGTGCGCTAAAAAATTTAGCCCGCTTGGAATCCAAATTTCTTTTAAGTGGACTTCATTTTTTTTAATATGAAGATTTTTCATTTTAGGTAAACTGTTCAGGTTTGAAATCGTGTTTAGTTCAATCAATTAGCTGAGAAAGTCGTGGCATAGAGTCTGTTTTGGCTTGCATCATGATACCCAGACCGGAAAACAAGTTTTTAAAGCTGCCTGTATTACGATTGAACCTAGAAAGCTCTTAGCAGTACTTGTAAATGGACTTCCTTCCATATTGAAGTAGGTTACTAAACACGGAACATAAACAAGGAATGATCGAGGCAGGAGAACCAAATAACATAGATATGATATGAACAGTGACCATGAACGACTAAAGCTGAATTCACAGACGAACTGAGTGAACCACATAAACAACTGCCTTCCCAAAGGTAGAACATTCACGAACTTCGCACTTACCTTTAGTGGAAATATCCCAGACGCAAGTCCACACAGCCCCTCGACTTACGTCCTCAAATCTACATCAACGAGAGACTGAAAAAGTGTTAGAGTTGCAGTGGACCTGTGATGGTGTTTCTATTTTACAGTTCAGCGCTCATGTAAAGGAAAAAAACACCTCAGTGAATTCAAAACTTCAGAAGCCCGTAATGGACACCCAAGCCAAGCTGGTAGATGACCTAAACAGTCCTAAGAGCGTTTATCCTGTGACTCCAGCAAGCTGTCACGCATATAATTTTATGTAACGCAACGTTTACGTATACTGATCGAAGACAGTGTTCTCTGGATTCCCTGTATCTCGTAAAAGAAGAGATCCAAACTAAGCTAACGTTTCGAGCGTTAGCCCTTCGTCATTTTACTCTGAGGAATTTACATCATCAACTCAGTTGATAAAAGCAAATTGTCTTTTTAATAAACCGGCTATTATCAAATGGCCTTGTCAACGAAAACGTTATACATGAATTCATTTTCCTGGTTTATAACCGTAATTCTTACCTTTCTTAAAATTCGGTTCCCTCTTCTCTCTTGCAGCCTTTTTTATCGCAAGTAAGAGCTCTTCTTTAGTTTTCCTGACTTCTTCTTTGGTTTCTTCTAGTTTGCAGTTACCTATGGCCTTTTCTACAAAACAGCAAGAGTGGTCACACAATTTGCAATTTTTTTAATTAAACAAACACTTTTTTTTGCACATATAGCAAATGTATTTTGGAGAATTTGAAAGGTCACACGAAAGACGCGTTCAGTATGCTCTTCATCAGTGCATGGCAAACCCCAGAAGCAATTCGAGAACCATCCATCAATTTATGAAGCGTAATGTTTCAATCATCAATGCAAATTCAACTGTTGTTAAGAGTGGGCTTTAACAAAGTAGAATCAAGAATTTCATGAAGAATTACATGAGGTCGCCTCGTACTTTATTGTTTTCCTCAAGAACAGCTCAAGGAATGTGTGACATATGCGAATGATTAAGAGGAGTATTTCAAGTAACTTAACAAGAAGTCTTTTTGTGGAGTGATCTGCTATTTAATCTGCTATCCTCCTCATTGGCTACGTTGCTGATTAGAGGTTATTCAAGGTCTCGGGGAAATCACGCAGGACGAGACTGCGGAATGTGTTGTAGTGATAAAAAACAGACGTACAGCTCACGCTGTTGAGATTAGTTGGTTTCTCTGTTTAAAAGAACGTTTAAGAGGAATGTTGGGAAAATAAGGAGGGCAAAAAATCTCTACTTAAAGAAGAATCAGCTAAAGCCTACGATTCAGACCAGCTCACTTGTTTATCACGGATCAGCTTCAAATGTAGGTATCTTAACAAATTGTAACTCGGACATTCAGAGCGGTACGCTTGTCATCATAATGCCGGTTTTGTTCTGGTGTTTGCAAAGAAATCAGCTACGTTGCACTTACTTGGGATGAGCTGTCTTTCGAAAATGCGTTTTGTTGAAAGATGAACTCCCTCGAGTGCATATAGTTAGGACAGGGTGGTCAGTTACTGACTGCTGCAATATCGTCCCACGGACCTTTACGTCTTGCATGTACCGTCGACCTAGTCAAGTAATACCTTTAGCTTCTTGGTAACCTAACATCGTTTTTAATCTCTTAGTTTTATTTCCTAGTCACGTTTTAACCAATCTATCGACTGCTGGTGCTCAGCGATGGCGGAACTAGTCTGTGTTGGCACATATGACAGAGTGACGAGACTGACAAGGAGCCTTCGCTTCCGCATTCCCAATGGCTCAAAATTAAGAGACGTTAATGTACAATGATTGCTGTCCAGCAACCATGGCAACTGTTAGGGCAAGAGATACAACTCTTGACAAACCATTGAGCGACGCGTGTAGAAAGATTTTGAGAAAAGTAAAACGGGAGCTTGTAAGAGATATGGATGCAGATGCATTTTTACTATAAATGGCAGCTGAGGATGTCTTTAACGCAACTGAAGAAGAGAGAATAAAAGTGAAGCAAATACGATCGAAAAAAAATGAGCAGTTGCTGGAGATTTTACAACCAAAGGGTGCAAAAGTCTATGAAATCTTCAAAGAAGCACTCCAAGTTGTTCACCATCACCTTGCAAACATAATTTTGGAACGCGGTAAGTGTTTTGACGACCACGAAAATCAATTAGCATTAAAAGAAAGCCGTATGTCTACAGGTAATTGTCATTTTGGTACGATGCCGCACAATACACCGAGATGCAGACGTCAAACGGGTTTCTAGAAGCGACGTTTTCATTCAGAGTTTGAGGGAGAATGCTAAAAAAAAACCCAAACAAAGGAAAACCTGGCTAAAAGTCTGGCTTCAAAAAACGATATGAAAGTATAGGCTCTGAATAAAAATTCTCGAGGACTTTTATGCAACATTTTGTGCTAAAGACGGGGAAGATTACCAGCGTAAATTTTTCAAAGAACAAAAATTGCACTCGCCCTACGGGCTTGTGCAATTTGGTTATCCTTTGAAAAATTTGCCCGTGCTAATTTATCCCAAATTGATCTTGCAATCATGTTATCACTTATACTAATAAGACGCCTGTGCTGCAGGCTAGCTTCAAGTTTACAAGAGTTTGGAACTTCCTTCCTTCACTATGAAATAATGGACCGAACAGATACTTTGCATTTTTACTTTTCAAACTATACTACGGAATGCTTTGTCTCAGTTGGGAAGAGAATCGTAGGATATTATATCTCTTTGTGCTTGGCCGAATTTTTATTTTTACAATACGTTACGTAAGTCCTCTTTGTTTCCAAAAAGAGAAGAACAAGAGAAAAACAAACAAACAGGCGCCTGCCTAAAACTGGCATACGCCCTTGATAAGTAAAGTTATCCGTCTTATTAGGAACATGTTTTTACATCGAAAGGCAATACAAAATAAGTGGAGACCAAAATGGAACAATTACGATAACTTTGTTGAGACTAAAAAAAAATTTAACAACTCATTTTTGTTACTGTTTTGATAAACATTATTTAAGGGACGGCCCCGCGTGTTTCTATCCTGTCTCTGCGCCCCTACAAAAAGAAAGAAAACAAAATTATGATTTCGCTAGTGCTATAAGTGAAACGTAAATTTTGGGCCACTTCGCGCTGTTCTGAAAAATTAACACACAAGACCGCTTCAATCATTACTCTAGAGTGCCATGTTACATAAATTGATTGTTTACATTCATTCAGAGTCAGCACAGTATTCGACTTCTTCTAGTACCCGATGTTTTTTAGTTATACGTGTTTTAAAAAGTGGCTAAGTATAAAATGGATACATACTGGACTGCAGCAGGTCTTCTACAGTTGGAGGCTCCCAAATAAATTGTATCGCATACATTACCATGCGGTCCCTGTTAAAGGGTGATTGACGACATTCAACCGAAGGAGTGGTTTTATCAAACACTACAGTATTTAAAAGAAAAACCATATACTAGGTACTAACTACCTGTTTAGATCATTAACTGCGGTCTCGCCTGGAAATCAGAACAAAATCACAAGTAATTCAGCAACAGGTCACTCAAAATTATTTCACATCTGCAATTTCAAAAGATGACAAGTAACTACAAATAATGACTGAAGTGTATGTTGTTTTTCATTTTGCTCTTTCTTCTCCTCTCAATGGCAGTATGAGTCTGGGCTTATTCGACCATTTTAAATCACGGCCGTCCACTCTCAGCGTCTAACAATGCTAAATGTCCCCCTAGCTTTGCCCCAAGTTCTTCGAGAAAATCTGCCACTTGGCTGTCTGTAAAAGTCAGCTGTATTCGCTGCAAAAAATAAAGGTTCGGTGAGCCACGAAAAAAAAATTGACTAAAGTTTTAAATCTAGAGTGGTCACTTTTCGCCCGAACCAGAAATCTCCTTCTGCAGTTGGAAGGTACGATCAATATTTACAGAGATATTCCTTAATAATGTATCGCTCTGTGAAGAATTAGTGAATGTATAAATAATGATGTATACACCATCTTCTGTGTCTCGAGCTTTCCATATCATATTGGCCTAACTCATCGGAATCGTACTTTCAGAGGCTCAATGTCAGGCTTGAAGAGGTTTCTGTTTTGATCATTTTAAATCCTGAAATCCTACTGCAGGTTTTCCTTTTCGGATTTACAAAACCGAGTCAGGCATGTTTTTATGCCAGTTTGTTGTTGGTTGAAATCTTAACCTTAGCCTAACTGAAAATCCCGGTGAGTAACTAATTTTGTCCCGTATCTTCACATCTTAAATCATTATATCAAGCTAGAAAATTGATCTCTATCCACCAGAGCTTCCGAGCGGACTTTAATATTTGTCACCTATAAACTGAATACGCAAATTTCACTAGTCTTGTCTATATTAAGTTTTGAACATACAAAAAAAACTTTATACAAAATGGTTTTCATTAACGGCTGAGTCGAAAACAGAGGATTTAAAATACGAAGAATTTGGCGAAAATGTGTCTGCTAATTCTAGGCCACCCCTGATTTTGACTGCACGCTGTATTCATAGGCGTTGCATGGAAGGCAGACGGTGGTTCGTGCAGAGGAAAGGGCGATAATCTTGAAGAGTGCTAAACAAACAACCCTGTCCCCTACCGGTTTACAGATTTTGTTTGATATTCGCATAGGTTACGTCGATCATTTCAAATAACCTATAATTGATTCGACTTAGTGAAACAAACCCAATTTACTTCTCAAGAGAAAATTAATCATAAAGTGGATTGATTTCAATAAGAAATACCTCTTGGCTTACATCTAGAGTCGAACAATCGCCTTAATGTTCTTTTAAGTGTTTTTTTCATTAACCTTTAGTGGATTGTTATTGTGAATTCTTTCTCGTTATCTTGTTTACGTTTTTTTCTAAATGCTTCGCGATTTTAAATGAAAAAAATATGGCTTGATATCACTTCACGCATATTGCAAGTTAAGAGATCACGCACATATAGAGTCACTTCGGGATGAAATTGAGGAGTTGTTTTATACCACCAACACTATCTAGACGATAGAAGTTATTTCCGGTCCACGTTCAAATATTTTTATAAAGAAAAATTTCTTGAACAGACGAAAAGATTTTGTTTTATCCTGAAACAAGCTGAGTTTTGTTGATCACCATAGTTTGCCGACTTTTGTTTGGTATCCCATGGCGGTTTTCATCTCGTTCTTTGCTATCCTTAACATCATAAATGTAGTTAGAACTTTTATAATAAAACTCTTTCTTGGAGATCAGAGCAGATTTGGATGGGAAATGACGTTGTGGTTTTGAAAGAAGCGCATGGCCATGCAAAAAGGTATGCTGAATTTTTAGAGAATTATCTTGTCTTGAGTAGATAGTTCCAGGTAGATCTCAAACATTTAACGCACTCAATGTGAAACAAACATGAAAGTATGGATCGTCAAATGCCAGGAGATAGAAAGGTTAAAAGTAATAATATATATGTTATAAGAGGGTAATAGACTTTGCGTGTATGTAGCCGTAGAATTTCGCCGCTCAAACACCATTTCGCCGGACGTGAAGCTTAACTCATCCGGTTCTTAAGCTCATTGATGCGATCGACTTCAGAGAAGCTGTAATGAACACCACCATGCGAAAGTGCCTCCCGCGAAATGTCCGCGCATGACGCATTTTGTCCGGCTATTCTTTGCCGTGATTGGTTCGTTTTTTGAAGAGCTATTGACCGCTATGTACATTGTCGGGGCCGGAACAATAAAGTGGGAAGACAGACTGAGTCTTAGTTAAATTGTTGCGCTTGTAAAGACGGAGTTTCCAATCAAGGCGCGTGGATGGTTCATTCTAAGTGGATTTCTGTTGTAAATTCCTAACGGTAGGTCTTGGCTTAAAACGTCAAAAAATGATTGTTTCTTTTGGTGTTGCCTATTGCGTGTCTTACTCGACGT